AAAATATTTCCACCCCTTTCTCTGGCTATCGTATCCCACAAAGATACATCTAACATCTTTGTTGTCAAACTTGCTCCGTAAATAATCAGGAACAAACACATAACATACACAACCAAATACTCAAAAGTAGCTAACTGTAGGTTTCATGTTCCATAGTTTCTCAAAGGGTGAAACAAATCCTAACCTTGGTTGAGGAAGTATGTTGATCATAAAGACTGCAGTCCTCATTGCTTTAGCCCAAAACCTTCATAGTACATTCTTTGCATGCAGCATACTTCGATAAACTTTTGCAAGATGTCAATTTTTTCTTTTCCCTACACCATTCTGTTGTGGCGTGTTGGCAAAAGTGTACTGATGACGTATTCGACATGCCCTTAGGTGTTGAGAGAACTCGTTTGATCTATATTCTCCTCCGTTGTCTGTGCGCAAGCAACATATCTTCATTCTCACTTCTCCTTCAGCTGACTCTCTGAACTCTTTAAACTTTGAGAATGTGTCAGATTTTTCTTTCATAAAGAAAACCCACACATACCTGGAGAAGTCATCAATAAATGTTACCATGTACCGCATGCCGCTAATTGATTGTTGCTTAACCGGTCCGAACACATCAAAGTGAACCAACTTCAACGGTTCTTTTGCTTTAAACTTCGACTTGTAATATGGTAATTGGTGTACTTTACCATACTGGCATCCCGCACAGACCGTGTCTGTTCTTACGTCTAGTTGAGGAAGCCCCTTAAGCATCGACTTCTTCACCATCACACTTAGCTTGGAATAGCTAACGTGACCTAACCGCATCTGCCATAGATCTGATGTCTCATTTTTTTCTTGTTCTGTCTACATATGCAGACTCTGCTGACATCACGTAGATTGACTCCAAACGTCGTCCCTCCATTGTTGGTGTTTCTAAGATTTTTAGGTCACGATAAACCTTCACATCTTGGGGACCAAATAAGACATAATGTCTTGATGATGTCAATTGAGCCACAGATAACAAATTTTTCTTCATTCTTGGGACATGGTAAACATCTTGAAGTTGCACCTGGTTAGAATTATATCAAGGCGTAACTATCGTCTTACCGATGTGAGTTATCGATAACCTTGAGTTGTCAGCTGTCACCACCACACGACCTCCATTGTACTCAGACAGATTTTGTAACTTCTGTTTGTCACCCGTCATATGATTTGAGCAGCCCAAATCTACGATCCAATCATTCTTCTAGTCAATTCGTTCTAGTGTTGTTACCGTGAGAGCCAATTCTTCTTCCTCCGTAGCAAATAACGCTTCAGCATCCCAACCATCTTCACTATTCTTCTTCGAGCTGGAAGTAGCAGTATTACTTTCAACATGCTTTTTCTTGGTCCAACAGTCTTTTGACATATAACCCATCTTCTTGCAGTTGTAACACTTGCCATCGAACTTTCTACTATTACCGCGATTCTTAGAAGCTCCCCCTGAATGAGGGCCTCCCTTTCCTTGGTAATTTTTCACCTTGTCACCATCATTTTTAGATCTATTGCCAGTATACTGCTGAAAAGTGCCTCTGTTTTTGCTGGTGTAGAGCGTTTCCTCTTCACTCTTCAGCGAGACTCCTCCCATTTGCTTGGCCATGGCTTCTTGACTTGCAAGCAAATTTTTAAAATCAACAAGTGATGGTTGTGTCGGCCATCCTTGTACAACGGCTACAAACCCTTGATATTCGGGTCTCAAACCATGTACAATTATTCTTTTTATCTTGGCTTCCCCAATAACAGCTGTCGGATCTAATTCTAAAATTTTACGGCATATTAACTTCATCTTGTGAAAGTATTGGGTAACCGCCATGTCGCGTTGCACCATTGATAGAAGTTTATTCTCGAGAAATTGCAATTTTGTATTGTTCCTCTTCGAAAAGAGTGTAGCAAATGTGTCCCACGCTTCCTTCGGTGATTTAGCATCCCGAATGTGCTCTAACATTTCTTCTTCTATTGTGGTCTTTAAAGCAAACATTGTTTTGCCTGCTTTAATTTTCCACTTCCGCAAGACGCCGTTAGTATTTTCTACTGTCGGTTGTGTAACTTCACTACCACCGACAACCTCCCACAAGTCTTGACCTTAAAGGTAAGACTCTATACACGTTGCCCACGTGTTATAGTTTTGGTTGTTAAGCTTCTTGATTCCTCTTACTACTTGAAGGTCACCTATCATAACGACAAGACTTTGACTACACCGAACAAGCTTGAGTAACAAACGTGCAGAGTACTAAATTACTCTAAAAACAAAGAAGCTCCACAAGGTTTGTAATTACCCTGACAATAATCCCAAGAAATATTTTCTGATGTGGAATATCAGTTAAAAACTGCAGCCACAGAGCATACTCGAAATTTCAAGAGACCTTAAAAATGTGGCTCTGATACCAATTGTTGAATCAAAATAGAGTAAAAACTCTAATTGATCGAGAAAAAGAAAAAATCTCTTTAGAATAATCTCACAAAATTGTGAAAGAGAAAAAACTCTTAAGAAAGCTTTCAAATGCTTATAATTAAGCTTTTATTGTTGGATGATAAAACTCAAATACAAATAGGGTATTTATAGGTTACAAGAACTAATCTAAATCACTCATTAAAATAACCACAAAATAATTTAAACCATTGAAATTAAAAATAAGAAAAATACCTAATTTTCACCTAAATAAATTGATGTAAGCAATGACATCAAAACTAATTTGATGTAAGCAATGATATCAAATTAATTTAGGTGTGAACTTATTAGGCTAATATTGACTTCTCAACAAATAATTCTTACTGTTTAAATTTTTGAACAAACACACAAAGCTCCTCAAATCCGGAATGTCTCCAAAGCTACAAAGGTGATAGATTCTTTGAGTTTAATTTCGTGAGCTTTAAATAGATTTTGAAAAAACAATTAAGCTGATAAACAATAAAGAACGACAAGACAAGTTTATCATTATCGACACTAACAGAAAAAAACACAAAAAAATGTTAAATTTTTACGACAATTTAAAATTGATTAAAAATCACAACTTTGATGAAGCAAATGATGAGACACAATAAAAATTAATTTTTTAATTTCCACACCAATATCATATCAGCATAAAACTACTACGTCATTTCGTTGTTAATGGTTTAACAATCTAAACTTTAATTGAATTTAGTATCAACAATCGGTTGGTCTAGTGGGATGAGACACTAGGTTCCTTAAGCAAGGTTAGGGGTTCGAATCTTGACATTTAAGAATGGAACAAATTGGGTTAAGAGGGTCGCCCTCGTCTCAAAACTAAAGAGTTTGTACATGATAGGAACTCCGGGGCCTAATTATATGAAAGAAATATTTACGAAAATCATCAACGAACAACGGTTGAAGGAAACAGAAATCATTGAAGGAGGATTCAAAGATGTTGGATTCGAGCTTTACCGTAATCGGTTGCAGATCGTTGAGAAAGATGCTGAATCATCCATTGTCAAGTTGTCGATAGACTATGAGATAGATGACAAGCTTCAAGAACTTGCTTCTCTGGCCACTACCAGGCCATTGGAAATATTGAATGAAAGTGTTTGCAAATATTTCAAACAAAAATGGGATTCCTCTAATCATTAGTTGTGATCTTGTTGTTTTTCGCGGGTGTGTTGTTATGTTTTATTCATGTAGATCATATAAATATGTCGATAAAAATCGTATTCTCGAATAATATGTGATATCGGATTAATTTGAAACTTTACATGCGCGACAAGTTCGATCATATGGATAACGTTAAGAGACTAAACCTACATAGATAAGGAAAACGAATGAAAAATACAAGTTAAGCTGCCTGCTGTTAAGAGCATGCTGTCTCCTCACAGATTCGACTTCTTTCTGCCATTCTTCATCTTTCTTATGAGCAGCATCCATCACCTGTTCCAACTCTAATACTCAGAACTTTTCGATCTCAGAGTCCTGTCTAGCTAGCTTTTGTGCAGCCAAAGCCTCTGTAAGCTTTTCATTTGTTTCTTCAGCTTCTTTCTGTGCTTCTTTCAGTTCATCAATTGCTTGTGCCTTCTCTTTCTCGATCAACGGAGCCTGCAGTTCTAATCCCTTTCCCATCCGTCTTTGTGGTATCTGAAAAAAATCAAAACCAACCAACAGTGAAAATGCAAATCCATTAATTTCTTTGTCCTTTCCATGAATGTTCTCTCTCGTTTATTGAATAAGGCTGTTGAGTTCTGGGTCTCATCCCAAGTGTCACAAAATTCGCCTCATGTGCTTTGTTGATGGTATTCACCAAGGGTACTTATGATTCGGTTTCTGATGTGTGGGGTGCCATGGGAGTTATTCTATAGGTTTGTTCATGTGGAAAGGAATGCTCAGAGTAATGCAAAGACGGAAGAATTATGGAGTGTCATTTTAGAGGTATCTGACATTCAAGTAATGAACAGTCGGACAAAACAGATGGGATATCCAATTATCTCAGTTAGACAAAACAGAAAGGAAGGAGAGAAGCTTGGCAGAAATGACAATGGCGAGAATAGAGCCTTGAAGAAGAAGACCATTGATGAGTTTTGACCGATTATTCCAACCGTTGGACAGTCAAATTAGCTGAGTTAACAGTCAAATCAACATTTCGTTGTTACTGGCATTTTATTTAGTAATGTTTATTAAGGTGGACTTATCATTTTATTACAAATTGATAATGTTAATGATTAATCTGTAACTTTTACAAGTTCAATGAGGAAATCAAAAACTTACTTAAACTTTAATGACCATTTGTGTAGTTTACCCTAAACATAAATACACCTATAATGAGACCTAAATCAGAATAAAATACGCTTAAAATCTACATAATATGATACAAAACTGGATTGGAATTATTTAAAATCAATAGTTAAATTAATGTGATCATTTAGAAAAATCATTTAGATTCAATTTAGGTTTCAAAATATCAGAATACTACACATTAACCATAGCAACACTAAGGAAACTCAGTGAGCAAAGAGGAACAGAGAACGTCTAGGAAAGTTCTGGAAAAAAAATCAACCGATCAAAGCATTTGTCTGCAAATTTCTGGTTGATATTCCAAAATCGACTTTTGTTCTCTTTAAATATCGATAGCCGTGACTGTGTCTATTCACTGGAAAAAACGATACCGAAAAAGAAAATAAATGAGAAGTTAATTGTTATGTTCTGTATGGGTTATGAACAGATGGTGATGTGGATTCTTCTATAAACCCCAATGCAAGGCCATAGTATACATTTCTACCACATGATGAGCCTATTTTCCGGGGAAGCCCCGAAATAGTAGCAGCGAAGTATTCACAGGATGCCTTTCGGGCAACTGCTGTTCCGTTTTAGGAACGAGTTTTACCTCTCGCTCTTCCTCTGGGAAAGGGAAAGGGAAAGAGGGAAAGGGAGGCAGATACGTCACCATCGGTTACCTTATCATGCGGTTTGTTCCGGTTGTCATTTTTGTCTATTGTTCCAACAAGGAAAGGCAGGATTCCCTTGGTTGGTGGTCTCGTTTCAGCTCCCAAGGCAAGCTCAAGATTAGAAGAGAAGTCGGTAGCCATCTTTTACGGACGGCTCCTGCCATGGTTTGGAGTTCCCTAACTGAAGTTCCCCTGCACAATGTGAATCCATGGAAAAGAAGAACCTTTTGCTACTGCTCAGATCCTCGGGTATAAACTTTTCTTCACACGTAATGTCACATCTCTTCTCTTCGACTGAAGAGCCGGAACCTTGATTGTATCTATTTGATGCTAAACTATAACTAAAAGGAACTTGATCTCTAGCACTACTATATAGGTATGTTCCGCTAAAACCCGTCTTCAGCTTTTTATTGCCATTTCCTGTGTCTACAGAAACTCTCGTCACCCCGCTCCAAGGAATTTGTTGACTTGTAACGGTAGAAATTTCGCAAACTGGTTCTGTAAGATCGATGTATGGGCGTTTCAAATGATTCAATTGCCAACAGTCGGCCTCTCTATTTGAAGAAGCCTTCCCATCAGCACACCCATCATCCTTTGAATCCCTAATTTTGACAGAATCTCCATCAACCTTATCCTCCACGATTGCCTCTTGTTTTCTAGTGAGACTATCTTTTAAAGACGGGTAATATTGCCAACAATCGAGATCTCTATTTGAAGAAGTCTTCCCATCAGCACGAGCATCGTCTTTTGAATCCCTAATTTTAACAGAATCCCTGTCAACTTTCTCCTCAACAACTGCCTCTTGTTTTCCAGTAGGGCTATCTTTTAGAGATGTGTAATCTTCTTCTATATGCATTTCCTCCTCAACTTTGAGAGAACCAGTACGGGTTTCAGTAGCTTGAAGGCAATCATTAAGCTCGGGGTCGGATCTACAATCTGGAATTATGCTCTCCTCCTGTAAAATAATGGCAAAAGTCCACAATTTTATTTTAAAATGAAGTGTCTAGCTGTCTACCTAAAAAAATAGCTGCTCAGAATAATACAACAATAACTCAACTCAAATCTGCAAATAAACTGAAAATTTTTTTTGAATAATAACACTTATTTCAACCAAATCTTCGAAATAATAATAACACTTCTTTCAACCAACTGCCACTCTCGTGACCCGTATTTATGAGCTAAGGTTAGCAAACAATGGCAAGAATTGGAAAAACAACCAAGTATATAGCAAAACATCAACTTTGACATTTGTTTTATGTAATATATATTGAAAGAAGAACACATTACCCGAGTACTGGTGCATTTCATTTTAGAATGCACATCTCTGCTGCTTGTTGAAATTCTAGACAAGAGTTTGGGGTCAACTTTGCTGTATTGCTCCTCCAATTTTGCTTTGGTTCCACCATATGTCTGCTCAAGAGAAGAAACTTTAATATTAACCACACTATCTGTAGAGATATATGTCTTTTCAACACCAGTGGTTACTGGAACTACATTGAATGAACTGTCACAAGTGGCTGATTCGTTATCTACCGGCTGAGGAATATCAGTAGATATTTGCCTCTCCAAAGGTACCATACTTGCATCAGGATTGCACACACTCTTTGAGAAATTTGAACAGTTTGCCTTTCTTTCCTTGAAAACACCCCAGAGGAATAATAAGTTATTCCACCCTGCAAACCGAAAATCAGAAATTTTCAGCATGACTTTTTTCCTATCTCGAAAAGAGAATAGAACACATTAAAAATAAGAAGGGGGAATCATACAAATTCAAAAAGAAACAAAAACCAATCTGAAAAGTAAGGCTTTGCTTGGTAGGATGGAAAGATAATCGGAAATATGAAAAATGAAATATAGAGAACATATTTTTTTCTTTCCATTAGTATGGCTTTGCTTGGTAAGAAGAAAAAAAGTTTTCTTTACATATATTAGTTAGCATGGTTGAAAAATGAGAGGATATAAAATAAAATTACCATTAGATCCTTTGCAAGTTAAGATTAAAATATAAAAATTGAAAAATGATGGATGATCTTGTAACCACACACACTTGACTACTTTGATTTTTCAAGTTGGAGAGGTTTTTGTTAATAGTTAGGGGAAGTAATAAGTGTTCCTATCTTTCCACTTTTCAACCCTCCTCTATCCATCTTTGTTATACTAAACTAAGCACAACCTAAGAGACGAACCATAATCAATCTAAAAAGAGTTCACAGTTCTCAAAGGATATATAAAACAAAATAGTCCTGTCAAATACACCTTAAGAGAATGAACAACGTTCTGTGCATAAGATAACAGATGGACGGAGGCAGAGGAGCCATCGATTTCATACCTAATAACTACCTATATAATCACATTAAATGGGTGGAATGGAAGAAAAAGAATTCATATAATCTGTCCTTTCTAATTTGGGATTAAAATGCAGTTGATTCTGACTACTAGTGCTAATGCAGAATCAGGAAGCCAGCAAGGGTGAAAACAGCTCAATAAGATGTAAAAACTCCAAATAAATTATCTACACAAGACAAAAATGAAGTCATACTCCTGATGTTTCTTTAAATACATTATGTAACTGGTAGCATTGCAACCAATGATATCAAACCAAAACCAAATAGTAAAATGCCAAACTCACATCAAAACAATGGAAAATGTGCTAAAGGAAGAGCGACTACTTGCAACAGCAAATCTATAGTTTACAAACAAATTCTACTCTTTAATCAAACCTACCATACTGTTGCCCACAGTGGTTGACACGAGAAAAAGGAATCACTAAGGGACAGCATACTTTCTGGGTCACCTTATGCAAAGGCTATAACCAAAAAGACCTTTTTCTTTGCCATCATTAAGACCCTTTGTTCGAAACACTGAGAGTTGGCATAATTCAAAATGCTACCTACAGTTTGATCACTAATGCATCATATCATCACCCATAAATCTAGTAGCCTTGCCCACTGAATAGAATGCTAAAAAGACTCGATCAAATCCATCACTTAAATCTAAACAGCCCCACAACTTAAGATTTCACCAGACAACATTTTCGTTAGATCCATATAGCATGCACTTTTGGCAATTAAACCACAAATAATCTCTGTATGGAGGGGAAACTGCAAATATTTCAGGGTTCAATGTCCTTTCAAGCCTCATAGTGTTAGTTCCCTCCAGTTTTTCTCAAAATATTTCAGAGTTCAGTGCTAAAAAACTAAGTCAAGTTTGAGAGCACATCAGAGTGTTATTATTATGGAATTTTGATATCCAAGCAATGAGGTTAAGGATTGAGATCTTTGAGTCATTGCAATTTATATTTGGAGATGCAAATATCAAAATTAGCCCCCATGACCGCACTTGATCAGTACATAAAAAGCCACAGAGTGGTGCAGTCAAGCAGACATATCCTTGTCGTGAATCTTGGGTCAAAGCATATAATCCAACCAAATTAAAACTACTAAACTTGAATATCTCAATTGTAACAATCCTTACGCTGGCAATGTTCATGAAGCTGGTTGGATGGGAATATCAGAAGCTCAACACCTTCAAATTTTCCTTTGAGGGCAAGATCATTCTTGTCCATGGTATCCAAAAGCATCGTGTAGTTCTCATAACTGCAAAATAAGCAGCAGAAATAAATTTTAAAAAGCTGAACCAAGGAAATTGCATCACGATCAACCTAAACTGGATAAAGAAAAATGGGAGGGGAGGGGGTGAACTGGGGGAAAAGGTATATTCAAAATCTACCTTTCAAGGTCCTTGGTAAAGAAGTATAAAGCAATATTATCTTCCTTAGGACCACCGTTATAAAATTGTGCAGGCCAAGTGCTCAAGCGAGGTACTTCGGTCAAGGACACCTTGTGGGGAAAAGTGTTGACAACCTCCAGCACTTTAAGTGATGCAAGGGTTGAGATATGGGCCTGAACACCACCACAAAACTCAGGAGGTTTTCCATGCTTATTCACATCAAAAGTCCCCCTGCATAAAAGTAACAGAATCTATCACATTTAAGGAACATCTCAAGGAAGGTTATGCTGAAGCAATATATGAAAAAGAACCTAAATGGAGCATCTTTTTAACCAAAAAAGTGAACAGTTAAATAGAAGGACAAGAATCCTACTGTCAGATGTAATCATGGTCTGGGATGGCTGACATCTTTGAGACAGCAGATGTTGTGGCTAAAGGAGGGGCATGGATATCTCTCATTGAAAGTTTGCCAACAGAAGAAACTACAGAGACAGCATCAGTGGACTGTGAATTAAGCAGCTTCATATTACCAGTGGAAGCCTGATTGCAAAGATTTGCTTGTCGCTCATCTGTAAATTCAACAGAAACCACATTCTTTGCCTTATTGCAAACTGATGATGGATCTTGAGAAGTTCTTTCACATATTTCAGGCTTCAAACGTTTAGCATCCTCAATTGCAGCTTTCATCTTATTGCCTTTATTTATCTCCTCTGTAGAAGTTCTAGGAGCAGACTGATCAGCACCATAAGCCAGAAAGACTGAGCAATACTCAGCTGCATGACCCATTCCTTTGCATTTTAAACATGGATCACTTTTGGAGGATCGACTAAAAGCACTCTCCCTTGATTTCTCACTCTGGTTTGTTGAATCTATTAACAGAGATAGGCCATCTGAAACAACTCCATTAATGTTACAAGGTTGCCTCTCAAACGACAGTGAAGAACTTGATGAGGGTTCCTCCTTCAGGTTCACTTGGTTTAACTTCTGTTCAGAAGAAAAGTCTCCATTGGTGGATGAAACAGCTGCAAAATAAGAAGAATGCTCTTAGGTTGCTGGAATCAGCCGAAAGAAAACAACAAAGAAGATGAGGTAAAAACACAGTAAATGATGAAACATTCTAATTATAGTGAACACTTCAGAAAAAAAAAATCATCAGAATGTCACAACATACCAAAACAAACTGCATTTTCAACACCTTTACGAGCTAGACTGTTGGTTGATCTTGATAAGTTATTTGGTCTTCCATCTGACTGAACAACTTTAGTTTCTCGGTGGTTGATTGCAGATGAATGAGAAATTACATCAGCACGAGCTGTCAGTTTCTGATCCACCTTAGGTGTCGAAACAATAGAACTATAGAGGTCCAATTTTGATATTTTTTTCCTTTCTAATGATATCCTCTCTTTAACTTGCTTTAATTCTTTCGGATCTTGAACATGAGGATTTTTAGATGATAGCAATTTAAATTTTGATTCCCCAGCATTTAACCGTCCAGAGTTACTGGATTTAAATGACATTGATTTGCCCACCATTCTAGCAGGTTCCTCCTTGCTATCAAGTGATGCATGTTCTCTAGCACTTTTCCGTTTCTGAACAACAACCTCATCTACAAGCTTCACTATAGGTTTGGAATTTAAGGTATTGAATGAACTGCATTTCAATAAGCTCCCTGTAACATTGAGAACAGTATGCCAATGTTAAAATTAACATAGGGAAAAAATTAGATAACAAAATTATTTTACTTACCCTTTGGTGTTTGCAGCCGTGGATAAGAAGTCAGAGAGCGTACAGCTTCTAGCATATGATTACCAGAATGGTTTCCAAGAGAAAATTGAGGAGATGGCCTCACTTTCCCCTTGTCTAAGTTCTTAAATGAACTCTCTCTAGACAAAGAACATACTCTGTTGGGGCTCAATGATTTTGGTGATCCCTTATTTGTTTCATCAGCCTGCCTTTTGGGAGCTGAAGCACCCTCTAGATTTTCAGCATGTCTCTTACCTAAGATATGTGTACTTGAGCTAAGTTTATTTGCCTTTTTTCCCTCATAATCCAAACCTTGAAAATTCAATTGCAAAAGGATGTCAGCGCATGCTCTTGTCTGGGTGTCATTTTTATTCCATCTGTTCGAAAACTAACCTTGCTTTGGCTTTCAGTTTCCTCGGCCAGTTTGCATTCTTCACAGAACCAATCACCATCAGGAACTTTCCAAAGCATTTCTCGCATACAGTAACTGATCAACAGCATTAAAAGCATAAAACTCACCACTGAATATTGATACATACAAAATTAAATAGAAATGCAATAAAACCTGCTAACAACCATGTGGCTTAAGGGATTTGTACACATATATGTGTTCTGCACCATCTGTGCACTTGCTGCATATAGAAAGCAAATCTTCTCGTCCTGCATCCCCACAAATATAACATACCTTAACCTATTCCAGAAAAGTTGGGAAACAAAGAAAAGATAAATCAGAAAAACGTATTGTCATAATAAATTTAAAAACAAAGAAAAAGAAAACAAATGTACCGATCCTACAAGGTAAAAAAGAAAAGGAACTCTTCTATTTTAAGTATATAATTATGATGGAACCCAGTCAATAATCTTAAACCATTTGACAAGTTTAAGGACCTCCTATTCATTTTTAAAGCACTCGTCGTTACCCATTAAAAATTCATTTAACAACATCTAAAAGAGTATGGGACCTGCCTAGCACCAGAACTTTAATAAGTTCAAGAATTTCATAACCACTACTTACAGTCTCCTAGGATGGCACCTGCACTACAAGTGCAAATGGAAAACCAATTAAAATATGATGTTTTCAATATCTTTACTCTCAAATCAACTACATTAAGCTAAATAGCCAACTTCCACAGTGTGAGGCCTAAGAAACTCTCGTATCAGTCATGTATGCATACTTTCTTCATAAAACGTCTCATAAAGAATAAACATAAAATTACTTGCATCATGTTCCGAGGCATCAGATTCATAACCCTCATCCACAGAAGCGGTTTGTAAAGGAGACTCCTGCTTGTCAGGTAACATCACAGATTCATCTAGCTCGTCTTCCTTCAAACTTTTACCAGTTTTATCCAGTGGGTCCTCACTATTGCCCTCAATATCTGCTTCTAACTTGGGATGGATTTTGGAAGAAATTTCAGATCTGCTTCCAACAGCACTCTTGCTGCTTCCAGAATGTGAATATGGAATTTGGATCATAAGTGAACTACCGCCAGAACCTACCTCCTTCATAGAAGGCAGTTCTGACAAGTCTAGCTTCTGGGAAGGGGGCACCTTTCCAGATCCTAAACTACAAACTGATGCTGAACTCTGAGATGAATTATTACAGTCTAAATCCTTGTTACAGTTACTAAAAGCTATATTTGCATCACTGCCTCTACCAGCACATGAAATACTATCAACATGGCTTTCAACAACTTTAGAAGACGGTCTTGCAGTTGCTTTACTTTCAATATTTTCAGAGTAGGAATCGTGACTTGAATTGACATTGAATAAATTACTTGCCTCACTGTGGCTATGGTTTAAGCTGTCACCCGTTTTATCCGCATTCATAGAACATTGACTTGCAACAGCAGCATGATCAGTTTCATCAGAAAACTCATCATTCTTTGATCCCATCTGAGATATGCTAAGATGCATACAAGATAAACAGGAAGCAGAAAACAAGTTGCAGGTTCCAGATTCTGCTTTTGCACAAACCTTTTGACTCATGTACTCCTAAATAATATTTTCACTGTTTTTGGTACTTTGGTACCTAAGATACATAAATAAATAAATAACCACAGCAAATAATGGATAAAAAACCAAATATTCATGCCTTTTAACAAACAAAAGTAAGGAAAGAAATAAATCCAATTTCTAAAGAGGATGCAAAGCCTAGCTCCCAACATAGGCCACCAACACCACAATGGACTGGTACAGCAAATTTTATAATAAATATCACCAATATTTCCATGGATTCCACAGCTAATTTGAAGGAATCAAATGTTCAAACTTAAAATACATTTAAGTTATCACATGCAACTAAACTAATAGCAAATGGGAATAAATTTTTATTCAACCATCACGAAAGAAAGATTCAGGTATACTCCACTGCATTTTTGTACTTTAGAAACATATGACACTGGCAATTATGACTAAGAAGCCTTTTTAAATTCACACCAAAAAGTGTCAACCACAAAAAATCATAGCACCACATAGAAAGTGGTTACAAACATACATAGCTGTTAATTATATATACAAAAGCAACATTAAGAAAATGTCAAAGATGAAGTGCGCTTGCTACCTTAGTGAACAAATATGAATCCAGCGAAACAAAAAGGATAGGGAGGATAAAAACTAAGTAATAGGTACATCATTTTCTCGCACTCCATTTCTAAATCATTCCAAGAAAGCAAACGAATGGAAACATACACTAATCTTCTATCATTCTTCCCACCAATTTTTTCAGCCTCCTAGTTCTCAAACACTTAATGGGGAAAATTTTAAAGTTAATCACAACCACATAATGTTCAAAGTAATATATGTTCTTCCTACTTTCAACTTGAAACATTATACTCAAGAAATATATTAACAAAATATAAACGGAAAGTTAAGAACACAAATTGCAGATTACCCTGTTTTCACCGTGTTCTTCACACTACTCTGATCCATCTCATCCAAAGGCCCTTGCATGCAGAAAATCCCTCTTAAAACAGGTGTGATCTAAAAAGCAAATCAAACTGTATCAAATAAAGCATCATTAAACAGAATTCATTGGATATAAACTAGCATCTAAACTCCATAGAGGCCTAACATAGTGTCGTAATTTTTTGAGGCAACTAGGCACAACAAGCAAGTTAAGCAATATACTCAATTTCTAAATAGAACTCAAAACCCTAATTCCATACATAGGCTATTCAATGTCATAATGGACTGATAGTCTGATACAGCATATTTCAGGATACATATCACCAATATTTTCACATATTCTACAGCTAATTTAAACGAATCAAACGCTTGAACCCAATACCCAATTAATTAAATTCCAAAAAGAAAAACTTAATTCAATATTCAAATGTATAATTTGATAATAAAAAAATACACAAAACCCTAATAAGAAAAATAAAATTTAATATAATAGTACATGCCCCTGGTTCATAGATTAACTCGGCCACGTTGTAAAGCTACTCAACATGCCGCTCCTTCCGCCTCAACCCAATAGCTGCTGCTCCCGCCGCTGCCATCGCCAAGCAAACGATCGAAATGCAAATTTAACATTAAACTATTTCTATCTTTATCTCTCTGAATCCTCCCTCCCTCCCTACTTAAACGCTGGGAGGTTTCCGATTCCAATTTCAATCTCGTTTCCCTTAATTTCTACTTCAAAAATCCTCACCGTTTTTCTGCCCCAAAAAAATATCCACAAAACAAACATGAAAATATAAACCAATACAAAGCAACAAAATTCAAATTAAAAAAAAATGGTGTTTTTAACTCTTTATTCTTAATCTATCGATGATACGAGGAAAAAAATCTTAAAATACATAATCCTCTCACTCATAAATTACAATTTTAAAAATTCTTTAAAAAATAAATAAATGATTTTATCTTCTTAGTCCCTCCTTCATTATTATTTTTGGAATAAAGCAGTTTTTAGTCCTTAAACTTGTAACTTTTTAACTTAGTCCTTGCATTTTTTGTCTACATTGATCCTTAAACTTGAACTTTTAACCCATTTCTAATCTTTTTTTTGATGATGCAATACTGTATCACAAAGGACAAAACCAGGATTCTAATTCAAAGGAAGTAAAACATAATTAACAATAAAAAATAGAAAGAAAATAAAATTAAATCAAAACTCGAAGATCTAAATAAATATTTATCATCATATATTTTTTAATAATAACCGTTACACATTTGTATTAATGTAATCAAAATCAATAATTACAAAATATAAATAATAAATTAATAATAGAATTATATATGAATTTATATAATGTAATTGATATTAAATAGGATTTCTTGATGATTAAATATCATCAGCAATTAAGTATTCTAAAAATATTTTGACTTTCAAGTATTGAGAAATGACCTTATGCATCTTTACAGATATCATGTTTGAATAGTCTAACTCCAGAATTTAAAAGATAATAATAATTCCTGAAATTACTTAACTGGTGTTTTGTTTTATATAATTAAATATAAATAATAAATATTTTAATTTATATTCGATACAGTCAGACCGATCCTTTGAATGTGGATTTTTTAAATTTAATCAGTCATTGTCATTAAATTAAAATCTTGTATGCCAAGTAAATTGAAAGTTTGGATATTAATGAGAGAGAGAAAAACATTAATAAATCCAATGCTACTGCAAATGTGAAAACCAAAACCTACAAGTTTACATTTTTATCATCGTCTCTACAAAACTTGAAACTTTACCCGGCGAGAAAGATGGCAACTTGGTTGATCATCCTGCTCATAATCTCCATTTCTCTTCTCCTCAAAGCTTTCTTCAACCCCTTTTCCTCTCCCAAAAGCCTCCCTCCTTCCCCTCCCACTTTCCCTCTCATCGGCAACTTCTTATGGATCCGAAAACCCGTTTTCCAAATCGAACAAGGCGTCCGCCGCCTCCGCCGTACTCTCGGCCCCATCATCACTCTCCACCTCGGTCCACGACCTTCCATCTTTATATTCGATCGTTCTTTAGCTCACCAAGCTTTAATCCAAAACGGTTCGTTGTTTTCCGACCGACCCAAATCTTTACCCGCTAACAAGATCATGAACAGCAACCAGCATAACATCAGCTCCGGCTCTTACGGCCCTTTATGGCGGCTTTTACGACGGAACTTGACTTCGGAGATACTCCATCTGTCGCGGGTGAAGTCGTATGCTAATGCACGGAAATGGGTTTTGGATATTCTTTTAAATAGTTTACAACACAAGGCTGGAAATGGTGAATCGGTTGAGGTTCTGGTTCATCTTCGATATGCGATTCTGTGTTTGCTGGGTTTGATGTGTTTTGGTGATAAACTCAGTGAAGAACAGATTAAAGATATCGGAGCTATTCAAAGACGGGTGTTTGCTGGTTTCGGAAGATTCAGTTTGATTAACTTCTGGCCTCGAGTAACCGGAGTTTTGCTCCGGAAGCAATGGGACCAGTTGTTTCAGCTACGGAATGATCTTGAAGACGTGATGATTCCATTGATAAGAGCTAGAAAGGAAGCTAAAAGCTCCGATTCCGATTCCGTGTTGGCATATGTCGATACTTTGTTGGATTTGGAATTACCTGATGAAAAAAGGAAACTCGACGAGAAAGAGATTGTTACTTTGGCCTCCGAGTTCATCAACGCCGGCACCGATACAACCTCCACGGCTCTACAATGGATCATGGCGAATTTGGTGAAATACCCTCACATTCAAGAGCGATTATTCATGGAAATCAAGAGTGTTGCGACAGATATCGGTGTTGAAGAGATCAAACAAGACGATCTGCAAAAGATGCCTTATCTGAAAGCGGTGGTTTTAGAAGGGCTAAGAAGGCACCCGCCGACACACTTCGTGGTGCCTCATTGTGTGACGGAAGACACCGTCTTGGGAGGTTACTTGATCCCCAAGAATGGGGCGGTGAATTTCATGGTAGCGGATATGGGGTGGGATCCGACGGTGTGGGAGGATCCGATGGCATTTAAGCCGGAGAGATTCATGGGTGGTGGTGGTGAGGAGGAGGTGTTTGACATAACAGGGAGCAGGGAGATAAAGATGATGCCTTTTGGAGTTGGGAGGAGGATTTGCCCTGGACTTGGGTTGGCCTTGCTTCATCTTGAGTATTTTGTGGCTAATTTGATTTGGAGATTTGAATGGAATGCCATGGATGGTGATGAGATTAGCTTGGAGGAGAAGATGGAGTTTACGATTGTGATGAAGACTCCATTGATGGCCCATGTCACACACAGGAAGAAGACATGAGCTTTTACTTGGTTTTTTTTTCTACTTAATATATTAAGTATATAGTGAATCTAGCCTTAATGTTTCCATGTGGTGTTGAATGAATCCTTCCTTTTGTGAAGTTATTATACAAGTATTTAGTTCAATTTATTAGAATAATACTATATTTAAACACTTTTAATAAAACTCATATATATAAATACGGTAGAATTTGAGAATATTTAAAATTTATTGATTTTTTATTGATTTTGAGATATGAATGATAATTCTTTAAATTTAATCAGATTTGAATTAATACGATAATCAAATTTAATTTTTGAATAAAATTTATACAATTTTTTAATTCATTTTCTCTATTTCATTTTATTTTAATGGGTAAAGTATGTAAATAGTCATTGGAATTTAAGGTTGCTAGCATTTTTGGCCACTCAATTTTTAAAACTTGCAATAAAATCATTAAAGTTTTAGTTTGTTTGCAGTAATGTCTCTGACATTATCTCTTGTTAGTTTTATCTGGCGTGACACTTACCTCTCGTTAACCTTTCTTCTCATTCTTCTTCTTTTCTCAAAACCCCTTCACCACATTTTTTGTATCTACCTTTCTCATTGGTGTTGTTTTTTCGATTTTTTTTTTGACGAGTCATTACTGTAAATGTTTGAAAAACGATGTACCACTGACAGAGAACTCATCCACTACGAAAGTATGACATTTGAGTTCCAACGGTCCCATAGTATGTGCCACCTTCGTCTAGACTTCACAGCTGTTACTCGTCGTGAAAATAGAAACCGTCGCCAACTTGAAAACCTAAATGACTTTCTTCAAGGTCTTGACAATGCCGATGTCTTCGTAGTAAACGGAGCTAACACATTCGAAGCTAGTGTAGCTGTAATCGTGTTCAGGCGTAACATGAATCGTCGAGTAACGATCATCGTTGACTACGTTCATAGAGTAATCACATGGACGAACCGATTTGAGAAGTTAAGTGATCTCACAAGTTTTGATGATGATCTTGGTCGAATAAATGAACAAGCTCGATTCCAATAACACATAAGCGTGAAGAAATGGTTGTCAACAGCGGAGATAACGATGCAGTGGACGGCGTGGAAGACTTATTCAAGTGATTCAAAATCAATTAGTCTAAAACCTATAGTCTCCAATGGATCGTCATCTAATAAATGAAGCTCTAAACGTTTCTCAAACCCTAAAACTGCCATTGTTAAAACATTAAAATAAATACCTAGAAAAAAATAAAAAGAAAAAACCTAGAAACAAGAAGGTGAAAATATAGACATAGATGGTGGAATTCAAGTGATTCAAGAACTACAGTGTGAAAAAGAAAAGTAAGGGAGATATGGGGTTTTGTAGGTGAGATTTTGTGTGAGGGAGAAGAAAAAGAAGGGTTAACAGAGGTAAGTGTCACGTCAACTAAAACTAATGTGAGGTAACGTCGGGGACCTTACTAAAAATAAACTAAAAGTTTATTAACTGTATTACAAATTTTAAAAGTTGAGTAACAAAAATGCAAGTGCCCTAAATGCTCGAGAATTATTTATATACTTTATCCAATTTTAATTTTAAATGACACCAACAAAAGAAAAATTGCTTAGAAAGTGTGTAACATCCCGAAATTCGGGTCAGTGACTAAAATGGAAATTTTTGAAATTTTGGGGATCAATTAGGAAAATTTAAAAATTCAAGGACTTAAATAGGAATATTTTATTATGGAATTAAATTGTAATTATGAAAGGATTAAAAGGGTATTATGGTCTTTTTCTTTTAAAATATATTTCCCCCTTAAATAAGAGTGAAACACGTGGGGGGAGAGTTATTTGGAAGTTCTTTTCTTCTTGCTTTCCTCTTCTTCACGTTGGCTCTAGCTACAAGGTAAGTTGGATTTTTATTGATGATTTCTTAAATTTTCAAGTGGGTTTTGATTCTTTGGGTGTTAAATAAGCTTAAGGAAAGCTTATATGGGATTTAAACAATAAGATGAGTGAATTAGGAAGAGATTTGTAAAATGAGTTTTAAGATGAATTGTTGATATGGTTTGGTTTTTATAGTTTTGATGAGATTTTTTACTTGTCATAAGAAGGATTAAGAAGTTTAAAGCATTAGAATTTAATTTAGAACATATTGAAAGTTTGATGAATTTTTTTGATTCAAGAGTTATAGTGAGATATTGAGGATAATGAAGTGTTATTGTGTTTAAATAGGGTTTATATATGTATAGATAAGTTTTAAGGAATAAGGAGAGGTTAACAAGTAGAATTTGGGGGCAAAGTGTTAAATTTTCGGGCATAAAATGAAAATTTGGGCAAGGGGTATCGGTACATGTTGAATGGGTACCGATACTACAAGGCCATTTATGAGGAATTGTTGTATGGGGTATCGATACTTGTATGAACAATATCGATACCATATGGAAAAGGTATCGATACATATGTGGAGGGTATCGATACCCAGGGAACATCGAAGCTAATTTTGGTATCGATGCCTAGGAAGGGTATCGATACCCTAGAGTAGAGGTATCGGTACTATGCTTGTAGTACCGATACCCTTTAAGTTGGAAAGTTGAATTGGAGTTTTATTTAGTTGTATTGATATGAATCGTATCTAGTAATTCGAATCTGATACCCTTTAAGTTGGAAAGTTGAATTGGAGTTTTATTTAGTTGTATTGATATGAATCGTATCTAGTAATTCGAGTCTCGACATTCATTAATTTTGCATTCGTGTAGATATCTATCGAAAGCAAAGTTCGGATAGGCTGTCAGATTAAGATTCGCAAGAAAGAGCAAGAGTTTGGTAGTGTCTATTGTGATCCAGGTGAGTACATGATTTTAATATTTGATTACGTAAGGGAATTAAGACTTGTGATACTTCTAATTCCGATGTTAGGCTATATGGATACTGGAACATAAGCATGTAGTGTTATGATGTTAGATGTATAAAAATAAAAGCATATGTCTAGATGTTAAGTGCATATGTACATGTGGTCTATGTAAATGTATGTAGGTGTGATAAATGATGTGACTCTGCTAAAATGTTATATGATATGCTATTTATGTTAAATGATATAATTGCATTATGTGATTGTATAAGAAGTGATATGTGATAACTCTATAAAAAAACCACATTTTGGGACCTTTTAACTTAAGTTATTGAATCTCTAAAGGCTCATTTAGGACTATGTAGATGCATTTAGAAGTATTTAGTTGCATGTGGTGGATTTCGGTTTGCCGTGTCATTTTATTTTTACTACGGTGCTGCTTATGGGAAATGTACTTGTTTGATGATGTGCAGGTATTGAAAGCAAGGAAAAGAGGAAAAAATGCCGCGACATAGGAGATTACTGAGTTAAATAAAAATGCCAAGTTCGACTGGCATTTCGAGAGTGCACAAGGTGAAAGAAGATATTTTCCAGCCAACTGTCCCCGACTCTCCGTGCCCTCTGCCCGAGAAATCCACCTCGAAGATATGCTTGGAAGAATCGGTGCTTCAACCGCCGGTTCTGTTGATGACACCGTCTGACCCTGTAGATCTTGTCTGTCCTTGGGCGTCTGCGACGGGATTATGCCGGTCACTCAGCCAACTACCCATGTTACATCATAGACTGTCTTGCTCGACTCCCAAGTAACTCAACCATGGTTTTGGGGTTTCCTATGATAGTTAACACCAAATACTAGGATTTGTTTTCCCCTATAAATAGAGGATGAAGCCATATTGAAGAAGACTTTGGTTCCACTCAGATTTGAGCTTAAAAGGTTAGAGAGAGAAGGTCTTTTCTTTCTCCGTCAATCCTACTTGCCGTGGCATTTCTCATTGACAAGACTGAGGGAGTGGCGTTCTGAGCGTCCGAAAAGAGCCAGTCCGCTGGGAACAGTTCTTGGTGGTCGAGGAAAGTATTGGGCAGTGCTCGTCGAAGGCTTTCTCTCCTCCCCTTAGTTCTTTGCTTTCATATTTGGTTATTGGGTTGTAAGGAACGAATGAAACTTGCTTTGTGCTTGTTTATTTCGATCCCCACCATGAACTAATCCTATTTGGCGGGAGTTCGCCTGGATGTTTAAGTTTTATTTCAATGAATGGTTATTTTTATATGCTTTAATCTGTTTTGTTTATGAAACTTAATGCCTTAATGTTGTAGGAGCTACGAGAGTAGCCTTTCCTTAAGTGGTTCTTAGGGTTCAAGAGAATGTCTTGGCAAAATATCTTTAGACTTCGAGAGAAGCTAGGGAAGAACTAAATAAACAAGGGGTTCTAGGTAGTAACTAGGCCTAATCCACCTTAGAGATAATGCTAGGATTTTATTCGACTAAAAGGAGCTTTACAAAAACGATAGGTTAGATGTTAATGCTACCGCAAAAAGTATTGCCGAGACATATCCTGTTATCTGAACCAATAGGGTCACTGTAGGGGTTTACGCCAATCGGATTTATCAGGGCATCTTTAATTTGTCGAGTCCCTTACTAGAGATAGCATAGGGCACCTCTGTAGACTCTGTCGGGCTGGTTAAGCATAGAGGAAATATCATTCAGAGAAATAGACTTAGATTTTCCTAGTGTCTCCTACCACTCATTCCCATAGCAGCTTGTCGTGTGAGAAAACTAAAGTCCTGTATATTAAATCAGTGTTTACATTTTATTTTGCCTAGACATTTATATTTGTTTGCACGTATCGTAATTTAATTTGTCACGATATAACCATTTGCTATCACACTACCATCATTCTATTTCCACATCAGTCATTCCATTTTACCACAACATTCTCATTTGTATATACTATCACTAACTTGACTTAGGTGACAAAGTAAAGTGTCGTGACAAACCTATTTGACTTCTCTAATTCCCTGTGGGGACGATACTCTACTTATCACTTTATTACTTATTCGATTGTGTATACTTGCACACATATCCGCACCTATATTTAGTACTAACAAAGAGCAGACATGTTTTTGGCGCCGTTGCCGGGGAATTTTGGCTACTGGAAATTAAATTGAATTGTCATAGCATTTGTATTTTACTTATTCATATTTTCTTAGCTTTTCTTTTTACTTTCCTTAATTTTTGTTCATTTGTTTCTCTAGGTACATAACCAAAAGCAACCCTGAAGAACCATTAGAACCGATTGA